GAAAATGATGATGGCAACAAATGTACAAATGTGCTTGATACAATTGATGTATGGGTTGTTATAAGAGCAGTAAGAGACCCCAATAAAATGATTCATAAGCACACACACACCAAAATAAAAATACATACATATGTTTACCTCCTCAGAAACCTGAACATTGCCCTGTCGGTTCACTGTGAGTCACAGTGGACTCCGCGGCAGTGAGTTTGGTTTGGTTTGATGTAGTCCATTGCTGGGCCGTGAGGCTGGTTCTGTCTTTTTGCTACTGTTGAGCAGTGCTGCGATGGCATTGTGCCCATTCGTGCCACAGCTCTTATTTCTCTGGGGGATATACCAAGTAGAGCCATTGCCGGGCCCTGGGGTATTTCTATTCCCAGTTTTTGGAGGAAGTGCCAAAAAGATGCAACTGTTTTTAGTTGCATCATTTTTTAGTCTCACCAGCAGCATATGAGCATTCCAGTCTCTATACTCGTGCCAGCATTTGTTTCCTAGGGTTTTAAAACTTTGCTATTAATGCTAGGGAGAGGTGATAGCTCATTGTTTTGATTTGCATCTCTCAATTGGCAAATGGTTGGGAACATTTCTCCAGATGTCCATTGGCTACCCAGATGTATGTTCATAATACTCTGTTCCTGTTTTTAGTTGGAAGAGCAGACATGAGACAGTGTGGTAATGTCCAGTAGGGGTCCAGACAGGAGCAATGGATCCATCCCTATACTACGATTGGGAACATATATTGACTCTGACCTTCTTTTAACTTTGATGATCAATAAGAGTTTATGCAGCTTACCTTTCTGTCATTTCTATTACTAAGCCAATGGAAGTATGTGTCTTCAAGTTGGATGAGTCCCTGGAGATTTTGTGATATGCTTTCAAAGGTGTGATGGGTTTATCTCTCACTCCCCTCCGTTTGTAAATCACTGACCGGAAATGGAATATATCATGTGGTCTCATTATTATTTAAAAAGGTATCTACCAAGGGCAAGACAGGATAAAGTATGTCTGCTAGGGTTCCAGTTCACCCAGCTCATGTGCAGGTTTATTCCAAACAGCCTGTGATTACACAGGGCTCCACATGGGTTCTCTCAGTAATGAACTTGCCAGTCTCCTTAGGGCACCTGCAGAAAGCATGATCCAATCAGAAGACTGGCTTCTAAGGGCATCTGCTGAGCCGGGTGAACACAGGGCAGAAAGGGCTATTCAGAAGGTTGTGGCAACTGTTTTCAGGAACTCTGAAGTGGGGCATTTTGATCGATTTACTCCCAGGATAATCATGGGAGCCTGTTGTGAAAAGGTTTTAAGAACATTGAAAATGGCGTTGGTGAGAAAAATGCCAGCAAAGTTGCAAGAGGTTTCCCCATCAGTACAGTGAGCATGCTCCTTCTTCAAGGGGCTCCAGCGCTGTCCTGTGAGGGTTCCATTGGGAAACCTGGTCCTACCCACCGCACCGTCCTGACTTTGCCCCTCCAGACTTCCTTGAGAACAGGCTCCTTTGGGGCAAAACTCAAAGAGTATTTTGAAGGAACGTGATTTGAGGCCTCAGGGATGCCCAGACGGCCGCCGTGATGTCTACAACGAAGAGCGCAGAGCTCGTCAGGGAAAGGTGAGATGCAGAAGCCCAACTTCAGCA